AGTAACTGGGACTACAGGCACCTGCCACACATCTGGCTATGTTTTGGTTGCAATTGTCATTGTTCTTTAGCAAGCCTGGGCCGGGCTTGAACTTGCCAGCTTTGGTGTATGTGGCTGACCCCCTACTCACTAAGCTATGGACACTGAGCCTATTTTTATTAATCTTTTTAAAGTATATTCAGTTTTGTTGAATTATGAGACTCTGGTTTAAGTAGAGAGGAAGAGCTAACCTAAAAACTCTTAAAGTGTGTATTTTACTTCTAAATTTTCAGTAAAGAACTGTTTGTCCTAGAAAAGGTTTTGACTTTGAGGGCATTCTTGATTTTTAAAGGCAGCCCTAAAACATCAGTGTAGATCTTTTCTCTTTATGGGTCAACTAAGAAAAAGATCCAAAACTATATCCCTATTTGCATTTTATCCTGTTTATAGTGAACATAACTAATAGAAATTGTCAGTGCCAGCCAAGTGTGTGGCTCATGCCCATATATTCCCAGCACTTTGGGAAGCCAAGGTGGGAGGATTCCTTGAAGCCAAAAATTTGAGGCCTGGGTAACAGAGCAAAACCTTATTTCTACAAAAAAACAAAAAATTGGGGGGGATGGTGATGCACCTATATCCGTGCTACTGGGGAGGCTGAGACAGGTGCTTAGGATTTTGAGGCTACAGTGGATTATGATCATATCCCTGCACCCTAGCCTGAGCTGAGCATGATCTAGTCTCAGAAAAAATTTTCAGTGTATAATGGCACTGTTTAAAACTGTAAGTGGGAGGAAAAGATAAAAACTTAAGAGGTATGAACACTATTTGGGTGATAGGTGTAGTAATAGCCCTGACTTAAGTATTGTAAAAGCTGTACACATAACAGAAACATTTATACTCTCTTAATATTTTGAAATTAAAAAAAAAAAGCTGCAAAGGTAAAAATTATATTTGACTAGAAATTACTGAAGAACAAAATTAGTCTGTACAAAATTTTAATATGCAAAAAATACGACTTGTATAAATTAGACTTGGCAGAAAATCCTCATAGTGATGAAAGATGTATCTTTTTTTTTTAGACTTGGTATATAATGTTTTTAATGCTGAAGATTTCTCACAATGTTTAAGCCATTATTTGGGGGGATTCAAAACATGTTATGATAAAATTCTTTTTGTTGTTGTTTGTTTTGTTTTATGTGATACATCAGTTTTCAAAGCTGATTTCTAAGGCATGAGAGTCCAGCAGGTGGCTTTTTACATTAAAAAATTCATAAATTTTAAAATCCCATAAAATTTTATTTCAAATTGACTAATTGAGAATGTCAGCATTTCTACTGTCTGTATATTAATGTTTATTTTTTTAAATTTTAAAAATATTTTTATGCCATTATGGGATTCAATGTGTTGATTATTTGTATAAATTGGAGTGCTTACATCCTACTAATTCACATAGCCTTCGCCTCATTCACCCAATTACATTGTTAAGACATTTATGTTCTACACCTAATAGATCCAGATAAAAGATATATCTTAAAATCTGGTATTTGTAAATTAATACAGTACTAGGTGTAGTTTAAATGAAAGAATCAGTTAGCAGAAACAATAACTAAACATTATTTTATGGAATTTTAGAAATGACTACTCTTCATAGAAAATTAATTAAAGAATTAAGCTTGATGAGCTTTTGTTTTAGAGTATGCTTTATGGACATTATAGATAAGACTAGTTAAAATGCTTTTATTCATAATGAAAACTCTTCAGATAAATACGATAAAGATTAAAACATCCTTTATTTCAGAAATCAGTAACCAGTAGATACATAAGTACAATTTCATAATGAAAGTTTCTGGGATTGGGATTATAACTAATTCTCAATTTTGAAAATTAGAAAGCAATTGAATTTTATAGCACAAAAATTTTTAGGGTTTAATGGAAAATTTATTTTTTTGTTTATAAAATTTATGATTACAGCTATTCAGACTTCACTGAAATACACTAACACACAGAAAATGAAGGTCTAATATAACAATTTTTCTTTTTCATCTTTCTACATCAGTGCATATAGAGCTTTTTATTTTGGCCAAATTTAATCACTTGTTATTCTCCAAATAAATTACCCCCCCTTCATAACAACAAGGGAATCTGCTCTTATATAACTTTTATATCAAGACGTGGGTCTGAATTATTTTCCTTCTTAGAAATTTCAGTCATTTCCAAGTAGACAAAAGAATATAAAAATTCCTATATATCTATCACCCAAATATAGGTTAATTTTCAAGATTTACCATAAGTGTGTCTGGTTTCTTTCATTCTTTAATTTCCCCCTTTTCCTTGTTGATTTAAAGCAAATATGGAGGCCAGGTATGATGGCTCACACCTGTAATCCTAGCACTCTGGGAGGGCTAGGCAGGATCGCCTGAGCTCAAGAGCTCAAAATGAGCCTGACTTGTCTCTACTGAATATAGAAAAAGTAGTTGGTATTGTGGCGGGCACCTGAAGTCCCAGCTACTTAAGGAGGCTGAGGCATGAGGATGGCTTGAGCCCAAGAGTTTGAGATTGCTGTGAGCTGTGATGACATCACAGCATTCTACCCAGGTGGCAGAGTAAGACTGTCTCAAAAAAAAAAAAAAAAGCAAAAACCCCCAGCAAATATGGAGGATATTTTACTATATAACCATAATGCCATTAATTCTTAACAACATTAATATTCTTTGGTATAGTCTAATATCGAATCCATAATCAAATTGTGGTGATTATAGAAAACATCTTTTTACATTTGAATTGAAATTCAAACAAGAGTCACACTTCATTTTTGACAGTTTTATCTCAGGTCTCCTTGAATGTACAGTAATCTTTCTATCCTCTCTTTTTATTTTTTAGCGCCATTGACTTGTTGAAGAACTTAATTATTAATCAGGTCCAGTGTCCCACATTTTGGAATTAATTGCATGTTTTCATGTGATGTCATTCATATTTTCTTTTTTCTGCAAATATAAATTAGCATTAATTACAAATTAAGGTTTAACATTTTGGCAAGTCTACTTTGGAGGTGCTGGGAACTTCTTGTTTTGTCACATCAGGAGGCATATTCACAGTGATCAGTGGGTTCAGATGATGACAGTATGAACCTTCCTTTTTTAAAGTTTTCTCATCAACCTTTAAACTAGTGGTTCTCAACCAAGGATGAAGTTTGTTATCTAGGAGATGTTTAGCAATGGTAGAAGACTTTTTTGATAGTTACTGTTGGAGTGAGATGGTGGTTCTGGCTGATGGTAGTCAGAGACCAAGCATGCTGCTAGTATCCTATAGCATATAAGATAATCCTTCATAGGAATGAATTATCTGACCCAAAATGTCAGTACACAGTACTTAATTATCTTTGATGGATATGTTCCAAGACCCCTACTGGATGTCTAAAACCTCCGATAGTACAGAACTCTATATACAATTTATTTTTCCTTATAAAGTCAAGAACTTTCACTTTTTTATTTTACTTTTTTTTTAATGTCTTAGTTTTTTTTTTTTTTTTTGAGACAGAGTCTCACCATGTCACTGTCACCCTTGGTAGAGTGCTGTGGCATCACAGCTCACAGCAACCTCAAACTCTTGGGCTTAAGTGATTCTCTTGCCTCACCCTCCCAACTAGCTGGGACTACTAGCACTTGCCACAACACCCAGCTATTTTTTTGTTGCAGTTGTTGTCATTTAGCTGGTCCAGGCTAGGCTGGCATCCCCCGTGCCACTAAGCCTATTTTTTAGTTTTTTGAGACATAGTCTCACTCTGTGCCCTGGGTTTAGTGCCATGGCATCCTAGCTCACAGCAACCTTAAACTCTTGGGCTCAAGCAATCCCTTTGCCTCAGGCTCCCAAGTAGCTGAGACTACTGTCGGCTGTCACAACACTTGGCTAGTTTTTCTGTTTTTTTTTTTTT